GGGGAGGGGACGGGGACGGGGGCAGGGAGGGGACAGGGAGGGGACAGGGACAGGGACAGGGAGGGGACAGGGAGGGGACAGGGAGAGGGAGGGGACGGTTGCCAGGGCTCACCAGGCACTCGAGCAGGCGCGCGGGGCGGGAGATGATGATGAGGAGCCGCTTCACCAGCTGGGTGATGAAGGCCACCTCCTCCGACTCGGAGCGCTCGTAGGCCTGAGGGGACACGGAGGGACACGGGGGGTCAGGGGGGACACCGGGGGGCCCAGGGGACACGTGGGGGTCCCTCAGGGTTGTGCTGGGTCCCTCTGGGTCCCCTTGGTCCCTGTGGGGTCTCTTTGGGTTCTCTTGGGTCCCTTTGAGTCCTGCTGGTCCCTTTGGCTCCCGTTGTCCCCCACTGTCCCCCGCTGTCCCCACTATCCCCATTGTCCCCGCTGTTGTCCCCATTGCTGTCCCTGCTGTCCCATGTCCCCGCTGTCCCCAATATCCCCGTTGTCCTGTGTCCCTGCCCCTTTCCCCGTCCCCATTGCTGTCCCCACACTGTCTGTCACTGTCCCGGCTGTCCCCGTGGCTGTCCCCACGCTGTCCAAGGGAGGGGACGGTTGCCAGGGCTCACCAGGCACTCGAGCAGGCGCGCGGGGCGGGAGATGATGATGAGGAGCCGCTTCACCAGCTGGGTGATGAAGGCCACCTCCTCCGACTCGGAGCGCTCGTAGGCCTGAGGGGACACGGAGGGACACGGGGGGTCAGGGGGGACACCGGGGGGCCCAGGGGACACGTGGGGGTCCCTCAGGGTTGTGCTGGGTCCCTCTGGGTCCCCTTGGTCCCTGTGGGGTCTCTTTGGGTTCTCTTGGGTCCCTTTGAGTCCTGCTGGTCCCTTTGGCCCCCATTGTCCCCCGCTGTCCCCCGTTGTCCCCGGTGTCCCTGTGCCACTCACGTCCTGCAGCAGGCGCTCCATGCTCTCCTGCAGCTCGCAGAAGCAGCCGTGGTGTCCCTGTCCCCAATGTCCCCATTGTCCCTGTGTCCCGGCTGTCCCCTGTCCCTGTCCCCGGTGTCCCCTGTCCCTGTCCCTGTTCTCACGTCCTGCAGCAGGCGCTCCATGCTCTCCTGCAGCTCGCAGAAGCAGCCGGCGCTGTCCCTGTCCCCATTGTCCCTGTGTCCCGGCTGTCCCCTGTCCCTGTCCCCGGTCAGGATCCCCCCCAAGACCCCCCCCAGGACCCCCCCAGCCCCCGCGCGGGGGTCGCGCCCCCCTCACCGACACGGTGGGGCTGGGGGTGTTGGTGCCATAGCCCGAGGACGGCAGCGAGGCCAGAGACCAGCGGCGCCCGTCCGGCCTGGGGGGCAGACCCGGGCCAGGCCCGGGACAGGGCGGGATGGAACCGGGACAGCCCGGGGAGACACGCGGGGACACCTCCCGGGATACTGGGGACACCCCCGGACATTTGGGGACACCGCCGGTTCCCCCCGGTGTCCCTGAGCCCCCCGGTGTCCCGGTGTCCCCCCGCTGCCCCGGTCCCCCCCGGTGTCCCCCCGGTGTCCCCGCTGTGAGGATGGAGGGTGAGGATGAAGATGAGGATGAGGAAGGAGCCGGGGGGGCCCGGGGAGGAGGAGGAGGGTGAGGATGGAGGGTGAGGATGAAGATGAGGATGAGGAAGGAGCCGGGGGGGCCCGGGGAGGAGGAGGAGGGTGAGGATGGAGGGTGAGGATGAAGATGAGGATGAGGAAGGAGCCGGGGGGGCCCGGGGAGGAGGAGGAGGGTGAGGATGGAGGGTGAGGATGAAGATGAGGATGAGGAAGGAGCCGGGGGGGCCCGGGGAGGAGGAGGAGGGTGAGGATGGAGGGTGAGGATGAAGATGAGGATGAGGAAGGAGCCGGGGGGGCCCGGGGAGGAGGAGGAGGGTGAGGATGGAGGGTGAGGATGAAGATGAGGATGAGGAAGGAGCCGGGGGGGCCCGGGGAGGAGGAGGAGGGTGAGGATGGAGGGTGAGGATGAAGATGAGGATGAGGAAGGAGCCGGGGGGGCCCGGGGAGGAGGAGGAGGGTGAGGATGGAGGGTGAGGATGAAGATGAGGATGAGGAAGGAGCCGGGGGGGCCCGGGGAGGAGGAGGAGGGTGAGGATGGAGGGTGAGGATGAAGATGAGGATGAGGAAGGAGCCGGGGGGGCCCGGGGAGGAGGAGGAGGGTGAGGATGGAGGGTGAGGATGAAGATGAGGATGAGGAAGGAGCCGGGGGGGCCCGGGGAGGAGGAGGAGGGTGAGGATGGAGGGTGAGGATGAAGATGAGGATGAGGAAGGAGCCGGGGGGGCCCGGGGAGGAGGAGGAGGGTGAGGATGGAGGGTGAGGATGAAGATGAGGATGAGGAAGGAGCCGGGGGGGCCCGGGGAGGAGGAGGAGGGTGAGGATGGAGGGTGAGGATGAAGATGAGGATGAGGAAGGAGCCGGGGGGGCCCGGGGAGGAGGAGGAGGGTGAGGATGGAGGGTGAGGATGAAGATGAGGATGAGGAAGGAGCCGGGGGGGCCCGGGGAGGAGGAGGAGGGTGAGGATGGAGGGTGAGGATGAAGATGAGGATGAGGAAGGAGCCGGGGGGGCCCGGGGAGGAGGAGGAGGGTGAGGATGGAGGGTGAGGATGAAGATGAGGATGAGGAAGGAGCCGGGGGGGCCCGGGGAGGAGGAGGAGGGTGAGGATGGAGGGTGAGGATGAAGATGAGGATGAGGAAGGAGCCGGGGGGGCCCGGGGAGGAGGAGGAGGGTGAGGATGGAGGGTGAGGATGAAGATGAGGATGAGGAAGGAGCCGGGGGGGCCCGGGGAGGAGGAGGAGGGTGAGGATGGAGGGTGAGGATGAAGATGAGGATGAGGAAGGAGCCGGGGGGGCCCGGGGAGGAGGAGGAGGGTGAGGATGGAGGGTGAGGATGAAGATGAGGATGAGGAAGGAGCCGGGGGGGCCCGGGGAGGAGGAGGAGGGTGAGGATGGAGGGTGAGGATGAAGATGAGGATGAGGAAGGAGCCGGGGGGGCCCGGGGAGGAGGAGGAGGGTGAGGATGGAGGGTGAGGATGAAGATGAGGATGAGGAAGGAGCCGGGGGGGCCCGGGGAGGAGGAGGAGGGTGAGGATGGAGGGTGAGGATGAAGATGAGGATGAGGAAGGAGCCGGGGGGGCCCGGGGAGGAGGAGGAGGGTGAGGATGGAGGGTGAGGATGAAGATGAGGATGAGGAAGGAGCCGGGGGGGCCCGGGGAGGAGGAGGAGGGTGAGGATGGAGGGTGAGGATGAAGATGAGGATGAGGAAGGAGCCGGGGGGGCCCGGGGAGGAGGAGGAGGGTGAGGATGGAGGGTGAGGATGAAGATGAGGATGAGGAAGGAGCCGGGGGGGCCCGGGGAGGAGGAGGAGGGTGAGGATGGAGGGTGAGGATGAAGATGAGGATGAGGAAGGAGCCGGGGGGGCCCGGGGAGGAGGAGGAGGGTGAGGATGGAGGGTGAGGATGAAGATGAGGATGAGGAAGGAGCCGGGGGGGCCCGGGGAGGAGGAGGAGGGTGAGGATGGAGGGTGAGGATGAAGATGAGGATGAGGAAGGAGCCGGGGGGGCCCGGGGAGGAGGAGGAGGGTGAGGATGGAGGGTGAGGATGAAGATGAGGATGAGGAAGGAGCCGGGGGGGCCCGGGGAGGAGGAGGAGGGTGAGGATGGAGGGTGAGGATGAAGATGAGGATGAGGAAGGAGCCGGGGGGGCCCGGGGAGGAGGAGGGTGAGGATGGAGGGTGAGGATGAAGATGAGGATGAGGAAGGAGCCGGGGGGGCCCGGGGAGGAGGAGGGTGAGGATGGAGGGTGAGGATGAAGATGAGGATGAGGAAGGAGCCGGGGGGGCCCGGGGAGGGGGAGATGAGGATGGAGGGTGAGGATGAAGATGAGGATGAGGAAGGAGCCGGGGGGGCCCGGGGAGGAGGAGGGTGAGGATGGAGGGTGAGGATGAAGATGAGGATGAGGAAGGAGCCGGGGGGGCCCGGGGAGGAGGAGGGTGAGGATGGAGGGTGAGGATGAAGATGAGGATGAGGAAGGAGCCGGGGGGGCCCGGGGAGGAGGAGGGTGAGGATGGAGGGTGAGGATGAAGATGAGGATGAGGAAGGAGCCGGGGGGGCCCGGGGAGGAGGAGGAGGGGGAGGATGGAGGGTGAGAAAGGAGCGGCGGGGATGAGGATGAGGGTGAAGATGAGGATGAGGATGGAGGGGGGAGGAACATGAGGATGAGGAGGGAGAGGATGAGGAAGGAGCGGGGCTGAAGGCAGGGAAGGATGAGGATGAAGATGAGGACGAGGATGGACGATGAGGATGAGGATGGAGACGGACATGGCAGAGAAGGGTGAGGATGAAGATGGAGGATGAAGGATGGACATGGAGGATGAAGGAGGAGGATGAAGGCTGGCGATGGAGGCCGAGGATGAGGATGGAGGACGGGGATGAGGATGAGGATGGACACGCAGCCTGAGGATGAGGATGGGGGCGGCGCGGGAGGAAGGCCGAGCCCCCCGGTACCTCTTGGTGCGGCGGAACATGCTGCCGCCCCCCGGGGGGGCTCCGGGGGTCTCGGGGGTCTCTGGGGGCTCCGGGGGTCTCGGGGCTCCCGG